ATTTCAGGGTTAGTTCTTCAGAAGGTATGAGTCAGGCATTAGCTTTTGGGGGCGGGGTTAAGGTTAACGAACAGGAAAGAGCAGCTGGATGAACAAAAATTAATGCAGGATGTTTCAAAGTTTGAACAATTCAGTAACCAAAATGAACAGAAGTTAAAATAATTTATCTTGGAATGGCTGTGGTGGTACAAAGGAAGATTAGGGTAGTCATTAGGTTTTGTGGTTTATGTGTGTTTGAAGGCAGTACCTATGGGAAAAAAAACGTGCTGCTTATATTTAATCAAGCTCAGGTTCTGCGCCCTGTGAGGTCTGGGACAAGACATTCTTCTCTGAATCCAGGTATGTCAATGGAGTAGGTTATTTCTCAGAACTGTTTTCATTACTGTGCAGTGTTACCTCCTTTGCTGGCAGTGTACATCATGTGTGAGCTTTCCTGACAGAGCTGGGTTAGGGAGTACTCCCATAAGCTCCTCAGTCACCAGTTTGTGGAGAGAAGTAATTTCCAGCAAGCACTAGCAGAAGATATAATCTCCTAATGGCAAAGCAGGACTCGTTAGAAGACAGCTGTCCCCTACCTTAAATAAGAGAAGGAATCACGTCTCTTGCTGCTTTCAGTTTAACTTTACAAAGCAAAACAAAACAGGAGATTCCTCAGCAGTAAAGAACTGTGAAGAATATATCTGGGTTTTGGACTCTTGGCCAGCTATCACCTGACAGAAGGTGTTGGATATGACTCTTTTCTTTAAACTGAAACCTGTATGAGCAAGTCTTGTTCCCACCTAAGAGTGGTTTGTTTTGAATTAGTTAAAATTGACCGGGAACTACTTCACACTGTAGCTCTGTGAATCGGTCACAAACTGAAATAAATGCCCCAGCCAGAGCTTTCGGTGGTTGAACTGCAGCAGAGGGACATGATTCCTTGTTATTTTTCTGAGTCTGAGTTTCATAACTGGACACCTGCAAGTGCAAATTAGGTGTTTTTATGCATGCAGACTATCCAGTTGCAGTGTTAGTAGGCAGTGGTAGCAGAGGATAAGCTTGTTTCAGAAGTACCTGGTTTGGGGAATTGGACACTGTTTCTATGACTCTTCTGCAAATGCAAAAGTCTTGGAGCCTAAGCACACAGTGGTTTATGTTCCAGGAATGTGACTGAGAAGTTTGGCTAGGTTAAAACCTGTCTTGCTGTCTCCTTTTCCTTTATATTTTCTAAAGCTTATTAGAATGTATATTTCTTTCCCCATTTTTATCTCCATAAAGTTTCTATGAAGGTATAAAAGAACTGTGGCTAATTGCACCCTGTGAAATTAGAGAGCTGCATTTTACCTTTTGCGATATGGCTGCTTCTCAGTAGCATAAGCAAAGAACAGATGTGAAAATATTCTGCAGGAAGAAAGCTTGACATGAAACAGCTATTTATTAAAAAGGACTGTACAGACAAATTAAACAGGTAGCAACTCCTACTGAGCACAGGAGTAAAATATTTAAAACACAGAAGCCAGTGAACATGGCAGATACTGCTAAAATACCTAAATGCTAAAATGGAAACCTATGTTGGAGGAATTAGAAAGCTGTAAAATAAAGAAAGCACTTTTATTTATTTAAAGTGCTAGTAAAGTCTTAATTTCTTGAATAGTATGGTATTTAGAGTAACTCATAAATGACTATTCTTTCAATATTAAATTCTGTAACTTGGAGCCACTGGCAGGTTCAGTCAGTCAGTGTCCTGTTTAGAAAGCTGAAGTTGAATGCGGGAAGTGCAAATATTAAAGTCTGGCTTACATTTTCTCTACCGTTAATGGGGTCCTTGTCACTAAAGTTTGAACAACTGATCTACCCCAGCTTGGGTACAAAAATTTCTATGGCAAAGCCTTTAGACACAGTAGAGTGTTCATATCCTTTTAGCATGAGCTTATGGTGGCGGGCAAAGGGAGAGGCTTGTGATGTTTTTGCCACTTGGCTGCAGAACAAGAATACTATCCTTTAAGGCAAGTGAACCAAGAAAAGACCCTGGAAAACATCTATAACAAAGTAATCCAGTGATTTTGTTGTCGCTTGAATACGCATTGAAAAGGGAATGACAAAGCCAGGGTTAAATCAGACTTTTGCTAGTAATAGAACAGTCTTGTAAGCTTTGAGAAGGGTCTCTTTGTGGCTATAAAGAGAATTTAACCCAAATAAAAATTAATTTAATGCAAGAGAAGGAAGTATTCTCAAAGAACCTTAGGTACAAAGGAAGAGGCCATTGTTGCTCCACAGAGCAAAAATGCAGTAGACTTGTGGCAAGAACTGTACTTCAGACATCTTCCTCCTCTGACTAAAAAACAAGGAATCAATATTTCATAATTATCCCTCTTGTCCCCTGAGAAAGGTGCCTGAGAGAGAAGGGCCCAGGGCTGTCATGAGAAGAGCTGTTCAGTTAAGCTTCCTTAATTAATCTGTGAGAGAAAAGGAGAATACTGGTTCCCTATGAAAGATACTGCTTCTCTCCCTCCCCCCACTCTCACACTCTCAAGATCTCTTAGTACATAATGCAGATTTTGTCTCCTTGAAATAGTTAGAATCATAGTGTCTTGAGCTGGAAGGGACCCATAAGGATCATCCAACTCCTTGCAGGAGTACCTAACATGAAACCACACAGGTAAGAGTGTCGTCCAGATGCTCCTTGAACTCTGACGGAATTGGTGCCGTGATGACTTCCCTGGAGAGCCTGTTCCAGTGACTGACCACCCTCTTAGTGATGAACCTTTTCCTAACGTCCGACCTGAACTTCCCCTGACGCAGCTTCATTCTGTTTCCTCGTGTCCTGTCACTGGTCATCAGAGAGAGGAGGTGACCAACTCCTCCCCCACTGCCCATCTTGAGAAAGTTGTAGACTGCAATGAGGTCCCCCATGAGTCTTCTCTTCTCCAAGATGAACAAACCTAGTGACCTCAGATGCTCCTCGTAAGTCTTCCCCCCGAGACCTTTCACCAGCTTAGTCACTCTCCTCTGGACACACTCTAATAGTTTGATGTTCTTACACTGGGGTGTCCAAAACTGCACACAGTACTCGAGGCCACAGCAGTGCAGTGTAGAGTGGGACAATCACCTCACTTGACCAGCGAGCTCTGCTGCTCTCAATGCACCCCAGATCACGTCCGGCACTTTTGCCTGCCAGGGCATACTGTTAACTCATACTCAATTAGACTCATTCTCAGCAACGCACACTATTCATATGGCAGAACTTTGTAAAGGATGTCAAAACAGATTTGTAAGCACTAGCATATGATTGATACAAGCACACTATGTCATAATAACTTTTTTTCTTTTTTTTTTTTTAAAAACCCAACCTTGTTGGGCACAAGAGACTAGTTTAAGAAAGTAAAAATACAAAACGGCCATACTTAAATTAGTAAACAGTGCATCCTTAAGCATACTTCAGTTTAGAGCTTTAGACATCTCCCAAGGAAAACAAAAAAACAAAAAAAAAAGGCAAAGTAACAGTGAAGTGAGAGCAGCTATGACTAACCCTACCTATTTCAGAACTCTAAGTCAAAATTTCTACAAATCTATCCTATTTGCACTACTTCACTGCAGACCATTTGCCCATTTTCCATTGTCACTACTTAACTTTATGTACAACTGTCATCAAAGCATGCTGCTCTGATGCATGCACTTTGAGGGAGTCCGTATACTCTCTCTTAACTCTATGTGCATTTTCCCTTAAACTCAATAGGAACTGTTCTGAACAGCGCATGCAGCATGTGGCCTCTCTGACATTTAGAAGCAGAATCCAGTATTTGTGTTAGGAAACACACGTAAAGATATGTTATTTGGAGCATCTTTGCTACTGCCATGTGGAGCATGGGGTCAGACTATCCTCCATTATTGCTATCTCACAGAGACTGAATCTCAGTAATTCAGCTACAAGATTCTGCTCTTCACATATTTTCAGGGGCATGTAGTCCACATTCTGTCTCTGCTGTTGACAGACCTTTTTGGCTACGAAACATTAAAATGGGAGAAGACCAGCTGAACTTGGCATAAACTGTAGGGCTATATTCAATAAAATACTCATGTGTTTTCGGTGGAGTTGGGAAATTAATGGCAATGTATGTGATTTGTCCAGCAAAATTGGTTTACGTGGATTTATACAGTCCCCAGCATTTGGCAAAGTTCTGACTGGAGAATTGGGGCTTCCCTGTTCTCCTATTTAACAAGCAAACTTCTCAATATAACCACTCTAGCATAACAGGAGAGGAAAACCTGGGCTAAAGAAAGAAGAATGTAAACAGGCAGTCCCTGCCTCCTGAAGTTAGTGAAAAGAATATTTAATACTTGAGATCAATTTAGACAACAAAGGCGGTCACAAAACTGGGATTAGGAATGAGTAAGTTTTAAGCCCCAGTTCTGTGGTTGGGTCACTGCCGTCCTCCCCATTGGAGGAACTGTTGTGACATGAGGTGAAACAAAGGGAAGGCACAGTTACGGGAATGGTCTAAAGGATCCTTTAGTCAGGGTTCTTTTGGCACACATACAGAGCAAGAAAAAGCCTGGGCTGAAACAAAGCTTACTTGAAAAAGTGACCTATTAAAAGATACAAAAATAGGAAGTTTTGGTTGAGGGAGGATGATGACACCAAAGCCAGACAGTTCTGGTGATGTACATAATTTTTAGTTGACACAGTTCCTGGTGCATGTTCCTGAATGTCCCTGTTCTCCAGTGCAGCATATGTCTGCCAAGGGAGATTTTGTCTGTTAAGATGTTAAAGCATCACTAATTACATCATTTTTAGAAATTCATACACAGCCAGAAACTTGATCCCCCGTCTAAATTTTAAGTCAAGTTCAAGGGAATGGTACAAACTCCAGTAAATCAAAACTCACAGGTGTCTTTAATGCACCGATTTCCTGTATAATCCTTTTTTTTTTTCCCCCTGAACATTTCCTGTATAAAAAGAGCTCTACTGGATACCCGAACCTGTGCAGTCTTACTAGCTTGGAAAACAAATTTTTCTTTAGTGGAACAAACAGACCATCTGCTATTTCAGCACTTCACAGTTTCCTGTTATCAGGAGAAAACAATAATCTTTTAGTGGTGTGTGTTTTTAAAAACAGAACATCAAAACATTTGTGGTAATCACATTTGGCCAGTAGGAATAGCCTGGCATTTAGGATACTTGCATAAGAATTCTACTTTGCTTACGAGTCCAAAGGATGGAAAGATTGAAATGTTAAACTGTAGCACCAGTAATACTTACTTTCCTAAAACCAAATCCTAAGGACTGGAAGGAAATTAAGACAGAATAGGAACATTGTGCTTACGTTGCATTAAATAGAAAACAATGGGTCGGTCATACTTGAGTTTGCGCTTCAGTAAAGTCTGGCCACATCTGCAGTTCTACTGAAAGAGTACTGGAACAGGTCATGTGTTTGCTTGTCAGTCTTCTAGGTCTCATTCGTCCTGTTTCCTCTTGGGCTTTTTGGGATTCCGAGATCGGCTCTTTGCTTTGCAGAGTGGACATATAGGTGCATTCCGATGAATTTGTTGGTGACACGATAAACATGCCTGAAATGTGACATTACAGCCTCTTGTTACAAACATTTAAGTGGCGTTGTTACATGGGTTATTGAATATAATGTTCTAAGTTACAGTACAGAAAAAAACCCCTAAGGCTTTTTGCCTTCAAAGGTAAATCAGTGCTACATTCTATACAGTCCAGGTCTCTGGATTGTACAGTTACTCCAGGCCAACTGAAAAACTAGAGTGTCATTGAATTGAAACTACAGTTCAGCAGACACATGGTTCAGGCATGTATCAATAACTTTAACATTAAATTCTATTTTGTCTTAAATGTTACATATGTTTTTATATGTGTAATAGCTAAATGAGCCAGAGAAGTTACAGTGAAGGCCAACTATGATGTCACAGAATTCAAGGTAAGAGCAGGTGATTAGATTAATTCCACATATTTAACACAAGATACAGAACTCTGCCCTTTTGCTCCATACTAAACCCTTTAACTTCCATTTGACTGAGGCATATTACTTTCAGAAAGGCTTTTCGATGGCCTAACTCCAGATGGTAAGTACATAACTACTGAGTGTACCTACATCAGTTTGCCTCTTTAATCAGCGAATCTTTGGAACTTGGGTGGAATGAATACCCCTATGGAATTACTTAGCTCTTTTTACTGACGACAGAAGGAGATGAGTAAAACTGTCACTTAAGTGCCTGCAGTTAGGTTAAATTAATCCATACATTAGTCTTCACTTGAAGATCCCAAGAAGTTCAAAAACAATCACCTTTCTTGGTAATTTGTACCATCAATAATTACTCTCCCTCATAAAATATGTGCATTGCTTCTAAAACAAATCCATTAGGGATTAACTCCCAGCTATTAGTTTTTCTTTTGCCCAGTGGTTTTTTGTTTGTTTGTTTGTCTTCTTACATGCCCTTCTCCCACATGAAACACAAGAGGAGTGGAATTGCCTACATCTCTGCTGATAGAGAGTCTTAAATCATAAAGGAGTCAGATAATACAGAGCCTTGTCCTTAACCCTTGAGGACTGGTGCTACTACCTTAAGTCTACTGGGGTTGCTCTTGATTTGAAGCACTGCAGGAAAAATAAGAATCAGGACACATCATTTTTCCTTTTCCTAAATATTGATCAACTTTATAAATGTAATACATTCCAATGACAAAAGAGAAAACCCAGCACATTCCATCTCCTGACCTTCATTGGAGGTGGCTGTTGTCTGAAAGTTGCTGTCTGTCTGGTATCTTGTTTCCTAGCCACTTGCAGCTGTTGGGCAGCTGCTGCAGCTGCAGCCAGAGACTCTGGGATAGGAGGCTCCTGTGGTTCCGTCTGCCATTCTGCTTTCTGCTTTTCAAAGTAGCTAGACAAAAGGAAAACATAAAAAATATAACCACCTTCTGGAGTATTCCATTAGTTTGGAAAGGATATTTTGTGTTAAAATATAATGGATCACATTTCCCTATCATGTTGCTCCACCAGAGTCAAACTGCCTACACTGAGACACCATTTCGACTAGTTCATAAATAGAATTGGTGGTATTTTCCTCTGCATTTGTACACTTCAGCCAGATTCTAGATTGTCAGCTTCTAAGGTATCTTGATGTACAACTGGATATAAATCTAATAACATGGAGAATAGACAGTGTATATATTTAATCTTTAGCAGCTTTAGATGCACCTCTGTCAAACTTAGTTTTTATATTTTAATGTGTTAAAACGAATAATTTGTGTGTGCAATAGATTAATATATTCTTTGTAGTGTCAAGGTGCTTGGAATGGAAAACGGCATTTCTGAAGAAATGAAAAAGAAATCTTGAAAACTGTGTGCCTGTGAAAATGATGCCAAATGTACTGGGTGTTAAGAGGAATTTAAGTTTCTTAAAACATCACTTGCATTTACAACTGATCTGGTACACAAAGGACACTCTTCTTTGAATAGTAGCTAATTATGTCACCCTCCTCCACCTAGGTTATACTTAAAAATGAAACTGTAATTTATGATCCAAATCTTTTCCACATCTAGAGTAAACTTACTTGTTGACCATCATAGGTATATGGCTAAATGCCACTGCCATGTGCATGCAGCAAAAAGTAAAATTCTGACTAGCAGTAACACAAACCAGCTGAAGAATAGTTGTTTTGTATCCGTTTCTTGTATTGCTTCCTCCCTCTGCTTGCTAAACAAGCAAAAAACAAAACAAAACATCTTGCTAGAAAATGCAGCATACGGTATAAAAATCTAGAGAACCAACTACCTTTGAATTTTTACATGTCGTGTAGAGTTTGCAGCTTGGAACAATCTAAATTTAACTTCCAACAAATTCAGACTGAATGTTATCAAATACATGTGCTCCCACATCCCTTTTTTGTTAACTTTTGTTTTTCATACTTACCTCTTAAGTTCTTTTTTCCACCTGCCAACAAAAGTAAAATGACAAAATAACCAGTAGAAGTATAAAGCCAGATAATGTTTGCTTTGGAGACTTACTCAAGGGACAGTTTCTCTTCCTCCTCACATAGATCTGGCAGCCTCTGCAATCCCAGAGTCATCCGCAAAGCATCTACATGCTCCTTCAGGGGTTTGTACTCCTCATGCAGGCGACGAGTAGATTCCAAGAGCTTGTTGAGATCATTCTCAGACTGCTTGATAGTATTCTCCATCTAAAACAGGAGGATGAGCATGCTTTTAAAGAACTGTTCCTTTAATGACTCTCAATTTAGCAAGAGAAAGTATCAGAAAAAAGATATTTTTCTCACTCAAGTTTGAAGAGATTGGAGACAAAGCAATAGTAAAACAAAGAGTTAAGATACTGGGAGGATGAAAATTGGGCAAGAGAGAAGCAACTGAAAGTGATGAATGAGATGCATTTTCATTTTTAAAAGCTGCACTCAACCTATATGACCTGAACAACAGAAAAAGCAGGTAGACAGGCTACAGTCACCAAGTGAGGATCTATGGAAATCTCTCAAGGGACATTAAAAAAGAAATTAAAGTAGAATAAACTAATTTTCTGTGTTTCTAAGATACCTGAAAAAGCTAAGGAAAGGTTCCTGCTTCTCTTACTGCAATAAATTGGAAAAGCAGCGGGGAAAAAGATAATCTGACCATAAAAAAGAGGGGAGGATTGTTAAAGGAGAAGCCAAAACAGAAACTGAGGTTATGCAGCTGGGTCGGGAAACAGAGGTTTCAAGTGATAAAGAAATGCAGTCTGCACATCCAGTAAGTAAGCTTATACTTGCTTACAATATGGGAGATGTTTTTCTTCTGGTGCAACATACAGATACTTTCAGAGCTAGAAACCATTGTACAGTCATGTAAATGCCCTAACATGACGTAAAAACTGCAGGTTTAAAAATATATTCCCCTTTTAGCCCCTCTAATCCAATTCCTTGTTTATAAACTGTTTTTCTCTTATTTGTATTAATTCCCTTCGGGCTGGTGCTTCTTAATGTTCGGTTGGTTTCACTCAATGACAAAGGCCAGCTCTTAACTAAGAACTTAACAAATACCATATTTTTCCAGAATCTCTTTTTTTCCAAAAACCCTGCATCAAAAGTCCTACCTAGCTGCCTAAGTTTCTTTGTTTCTAGGTGCTAAATGAGAAAAGACTTTAACAGGAAGAACAGTTTTCTATGGAACTGGCAGAGCCATGTTACTGTGGCTACTGGTAAAGTTGTAGCCACAATGGGCTTGGTTATCTGTCCTCTTGGTGCCAATGCTTACTATGCCAACATTACAAAGTACCCTGCCCAACACAGACAGGAGAAAACAATTATCTTGGGGTAAATTTACTTTGCAGTCTTCGTAGGGTCCTAGGATGGTGTTATAAAGTCCAGATAATTGAACCAGTGATAATTCAGTGATGTGCACAATTCCACAATCTGTGGAATGATTCATATACAACTGCGTCTTAGTCAGGCTGTCCGCAGCTGGACTGTTGCGTACCACATTAATATCTGCATGGATCAGTCGCAGCTCCTCCACATGGGCCATCTTCTCTTGCAGCAGCAGGTCCATTTCCTGCTTGTACTCTTTCAGGTGCCTCTCCTCAGACTCCAGGGCTTCAAATTCTGCTTTCAGACGTGCCTTTATTTTTTCCATCTGCAAAGTCTTATTTCTGGATCCCAGCGACAATTAAAAATATAGAGAGACAACAGTAAGTCACCGCAACATATTTGTGTGAGGTGTCACTTTATACATGAATAGATGGAAGAAGGTAATAAGCAGTAATAGACAAGGGTGAGACTAAACTTGTCTGAGAAAGGATGATGTGCAATCAGAGAACTGAATTCTAATCCAAGCTCTTTTGAAGAGCTTTTCAGTGCTATGTGAATTCTTGTACTGAATTATGAAATTAACAGAACATTGACAGACTTTAACAGTTACTGTAGATTCAGAGAATTTGTACCAATAGAGTTCTAATCCATCAATTAACTCAGATTAAACCCTAGTTCCAAAATACAGAAATCCAGGAAATCTGTGAGGTTTAACACAGGATTCTGAGAAATGTAAAATGAATTGAAGGTGATTTTCATGTAATATACACTGATTAAAACTATGTGGACAATAATTTGAACTGCTAAAATGCTAAATTCAACTTGAGGTTAAATAAAATTCCAGAGCAATGACATATCAGAGTAGTAAAAACTCAGATGACACTGGCTATCAACATCCCACGTGCAAGTAAGTCTGCATTCTCTTGGTTCTTTGCTAAGATCTAGTACCTGACACATATTTGTAAATATTTCTGCCCATATCCTGCATTCTGATTTTTTTTCATTTGTGCCTATCCGTAATTCCATAGCAAAAAATATATCAGTCCTTATCTCTGTCTTCAAAGCTAATAATCAGAGAGTGTGAGTTTCAGTCATCAGAAAGCAGCAGAACAGCCTACTGTTGTTGTGATTCAACACTTGTCCAAGCTGTGGAACAGAACAAACAAACTGTTCTTGCTCCTGTGATTTAGTTAATGAAGAGGCCTTAGTTATTTTTCCTGTACCAGAAGTTAGAATGTGATACTGGGTAACCAATGTGTCAGCAACACTTGAATGTTTCTATCAAAAGGCTGCAATGTCACACTTTAGCCATATAATCAAGAAGAGTTCTGGACTCCTTGCTTCACCTTGTGTGAATGTAGCATTCCTTTTTAGTCAAATGATGCCCAGTACAAATAGACCCATACTGGTTTCCAAGTGCACTACTGAATAACACAGTAGACTTCCTACAGGCATGGTGCAGGGCTGGGGAAGAAGAGGTTTGCATTCCTACTTAAATATCCTATTCCTATCCCAATGCAAAGTGGGCTAAATTTGATTCAAATTCACTATAAGCAGCAAAACTGACTATAGAATGCCATCTGTAGATTACAGGAAGCTGCCTGTCCACCCTAATCCTAGAAGAGTGTGCGACTGCCCTCCCACTAGGCCCAGACTTGCTCCCATGGAAGCAAGCAATACAAATCTGACGTTTGTAATGAAGCAGAAGGTCCTGAGCCCCCTGGAGGGAGCTGGTCTATCGCCTATTTCTAGGCAAAGGGATTCCTAAACCTTTCTGGGGCATTGGTTCCCTTTACAAACTGTTTCCATACCCAGTCCCCAAGGGCTCTTCCGGAAACTGCTTCCACAGCACTGAAGAATCGATGGTTTATCTGAGTGTTATTCTATATCATTCTATCATACTGGTAAGAATAGCAGAATATATATATCCTGGGCTTTAACAGAGTTACTGTTTTCTCTCACTCCAAACAAAATTCCCAAAGAAATTTTAAAGCTAGCCTGAGGACTCTTCTTTAAAGGTGTCTGTATAGATTTTATTCTTGCTTCCATTTGGCCGAAGCTCACCCTCTGTCACCACCCCTCTTGGGGAGGCTCTGACTTGTGCCTGTGAATCCTTCTCTCAGTCTGTTTCCAAATCTGTCTTTGTGATTTCAGTATCTGCTTATGGACCTAGTTTTGTCAGCTTTTTCCCTAGTGTGTGAGAGAAATATCACTGGCACAATGGGCTTCCACCATTAGCTGAAGAGCATGTCAGAAAGCAGAGTCAGTCCCTGGGACAACCAATTATGGCTATCTATTCCAAGTATTATAGCTAGTAATGTGACCAGGGTTCCTTCCTCTCTCACTTCAGTTGTTTATAAAGCTGCAAGAGAGAAAAATGGTATCAAAAATAACTCCTCTAATATGTATTCAGAAATGGGCTGCCTGGTAGGGATAATATGAATGAAGGAGATTCAAAACAGAACAATTAGAAAATTTAAGGTCAGAGGGACTGCTGCTTGTTTCCTTAGAATAAAATAAGACAAAATTCTGCCTTGTATTGGTACTTCTGAAATAATCTTAACAGTAAAGTTATTTTCTCTATATAAATAAGTCGTAGGAGATGCAGATTACTATTCCCAGTGACGGCAGCCTGTGACTGTGAAGAATAGAAATACCAGACCAAAGATATATACAGGAAAAGCCAAAGACAAATAAGGTCATGTCAGAGGTCACTCAGACACATTTACAGATATTGTGAAAGACATATTTAAAACCAAACTTGATAAAATTCACTTGGTAGCTATGATTATTATGCCTGTGCTATAGCTCACCCTAGAGTTTGCTTGCTTCATATAGTATGTTTATTATAGAAAATACAAATGGTACACCTGTGAGGATACATTCATTTTAAAAAGTACACAGTCATTCCAGTTCTGAAAAGTCCATATCTCACCATTAGAGTAAAAAATAGCTGGTGGAATAAGAAGTCAACTCATAAAGGTTTTATGAATGAAGTGCAGAAGAAGCCTGGATGTAGGTAGAATTCAAGTATGTAGCTAAAACATTGTAGTCTTTAGTATCATTGGAGTTGTTCTGTTACTTACTATACAATGGCATGTGCTAGTCTGAATGTAAATATTGGACTTAAACCAGTAAGACAGATTCTCTCTGTCTTCCATTTTAAAAGCGGAATATCCCACTAAAAAGTGCTATCCAACCATCTATCTTTGTTTTCACTGAGCCTCATTGTTCCCGTTTACTTAAAACAATTATTTAGTAATGCCAGCTTTGATTACTGAAACTGGGACTATTTGTCCCCAATTTCCTCCCTGTTTCCTTTCTTGTTTTTATGGCATGTGTTCATCTAAAGACAATGGAAACAGATCAGTTTGCTCACTGTTACTAGTCACTGGCTGCCATGTTCTGCCAAACTGCTACAACAAATTAGTTGCAGGGGATTGCTTCAGTACAAATGATTAGCTTTTGGTATTAGGAAAGAAAAAGTGAACGCAAATTAGAACTTTTCCTGTTAGCGTCAGGCAACATGCAGTAATGTTTTAAAACAAACCAAAAGTGTGATTTCCAGACTGCCTAATGAATCCTGCCCTCACATCCTTTTCCCTTCTATTTAAGTTCTTACACTGCACTGATGACAGTAGTCACTAAGGCTGTCCCAATAGGGCATTAAGCAGTGAAACTACTGTCTGTCATCAAGAAGTTCAATCTCATTCTCTTTTATCTCCTCCCAGTCAGAATAGTGCGGTCCAGTCTTTGGATAATTGCTTAATTTTATGACTGGGGTTATTTCTGTGGAACTGCTTAGTGCATATAAATAAGCATGTGCAGATATGTTTGGATTGTGGGCATATACATACATTTACTGACAGTAGTATTCCATTGACTAGAAATTATATGTATGTATCTGTAGAAACAGATATGGATATAGATACAGGTCTTCAAAATCAGATTCCAGAATCCCTTCAAAAAAAACAGCTGAGCTGTCTTTAATGAGTGATGGAGACCAACTACAGGAATGGGCAATTTCTTTCATTTTGATTGTGAGGACTTTTTTTCTCTCTGCCTGTAGAGTAATACATGGAATGCAGATTAAAATAAAGCCTGGCAAATCTATCACAGGTGTGTCTCTAAACATAAGAAATTTTTAAGTTTATTTTGAAGGAAATTCTTCATAGAACGCAAGCTCCTTTTAAAAGATTTGGGGATTAAAAAAATAGGTTTATTTGATCAGATTTGGTTAAAGGTGACTCAAAATTGACATCAATGTTGCAAGTAGGATTGACTTTTTGACGTTGATTTTTTTTTTTAATTCACAATGTATTCAAGTAACTTTCTTGATACTTCATTGTACACTCAAGCTGGTAACGTCACCTTTACAGTACCTTATGCCTCAAACTAATAGCAAAAATGTCTTAATTACAGTTTATATAATACCTTTGAATATATTATCAGAAAACTGAGTGCACCATAAATTTCCAGATACATGATACCACTCTCTCTGAAAAGATAATTTAATGAGATACCTAAATTAAGTGTTATAATAATTGGACCACAAGCTGTAGTAGGCCATATTCAGGTCTGTATTTTAAAACATCCTGACTAACAGTTGAGAAGAAAAGCATTGTTCTCATTCTGCATAGAAGGTGTTGTCCCACTTCTTTCTACAAATGGTTTTGGGATGCTGGAGACACAAATATTTTTGCTTGATCTTTGTTCTCCTTTGTGGTATCCTATGAAGAAGGCCGAGGCCCTTACACTGCTGCCTAATTCACCTCTTCCATGCGCAAAATGTGCTTCTTGGAGGTGCTGTCACCCGCCAGAAGTCTCTGTGGCCACCTGCACGCGCTGCCAGCATCTCTGCCCCCTGGCCTCTCGCCCCATAGCCCCTCTCCACCCGCTGTGTCCCAAAACACTTCTCATCGCTCTGGGGTTACCCCTGGTCAGCGTCCCTTGCACCTCCCACCTACATCCAGAATGACTGCCCCCACTTTCAGTCTGGCTTTTGGATGCGTGAATTCCTGCTAAAGACAGACAGCTCAGGCCTTATCCTGGAAATCAGTGCCCGAGGCCAAGGAGTGGAAATGCCCTCCCTAAAGCTAAGAAGGAGGCACGGCCCCGACCTGGGCGCGCACAGGGCCGTGCCTCATTCTTCATGAGCCCCTTCGCCCGTCGGTTCCCCGCACGAAGGATGCCGTGTACCAGTTCCTGGGGGGTGGCCTTGTGCGGAGCCGGCTGCTTGCCTTGCGCAGGAACAACCTCGTGCTGGGGTGTGTGTCCCCCCA